AAATGAACAATGGCTACAATAATATTAATTAAGTACAACAATAATAATTAATGATTAATCATTAAACAAGGATGCACAAGGATGCACAATGCTCACATGCGCAGTGTCCAGAAAACTGCTTTGTTTGCCTAAACCATTTTGTTTCACCTTTAGCCGCTGCCTTCTATTTTCTGCAAAACATGTTACTGACTAAACATTGGAGCCCGGTCGGCCCCAAATGAGGCCCGGCTGGGCCCAAATAAGGCTGGTCGTGCCCTATTTTTGTAAAAAGCTCTGTTTTTGTGCTCTGAAGTGAAAACAGTGCAGACAGAGTTATTTTGAACTCTGTTTGTCCCTTCTACTCTTCTCTGTCATGGAAAGCCTCAAGAGAAGAATGAAGTCATTTCCAAAACCATCAATAAGCAAATTGACTACTTGATGAGTTAGGACATGATTTTGGACAAAATTAATGAATGTAATGAATCAATAACCACTCCTCATTCTCATCATGGAGTAAGCTCAAAGAGGGAGGTAGAAATTCTTCAAGGCTCATCGAAACATCATGAATTGATGTAAGACAACCCTTGACACAATAGACTCGGCATAACGTTCAGCCAAATCCAAACAATATGACTCATTTTCTTTATGTGGGTTAGTTTATTTTAACATTTTTTAGACATTTCCATTCTTTACTCCATTTGTCCAAGATAATGGTTAAGTCCTCTAAAGATTACGTCCACTAAATGAGAAGCATGCCAAACGGGAAGTGATTCTCAACATGAAAGAGAGACTATGCCGTTGGCGATGAACCTCCGTAGAGATTAAGCCATTAAGCATAGATCTCTAGCTCATATTTTGAACAACCATCAACTGGTTGAAACAACTCTCAAATGAAAGAAATAAATGGTAAGTTGATTATTAAAATGAGACTCTTAATATGGAAATTAAACAAAGAAAGGCTAAGAACAACATACAACAAGCTATATATGCGAACTTATGAGACAACAAGCAAACTAATCAAAGCATGAACTAATTAAATAAATTAGGAAAGCCCTAAAACAACCCTTAATAAGTGAAAAACAGTAGCTCAAAGTGCATGAAAAGAGCCCCCCCCCAAAAAAAAGCAAAACAACAAGCAAAGAAAATAAGGCTAGTAAGCAAGAACAAGGAGCGGTGGCTAACCCCTCCACCTTTGAAACCTCAAAGCATGATTTTTAGCCACTTTTAAACTCTGAAAATTAGTTTGAAAGGTTAAAGAAAAGAGTGTAGAGACAATGGTTGAGCTATGAAATAAGGTGTAAGATAGGATGTCAACCCTCTTTCCCCTTTGGTAGCTATTCAAACCCAAGTTTCAATACTTGAACTAGAATCAAAACAATACAAAGACACAAGAAATGGATAGAAAATGATAGAAGATGAAAGTAAAAGCAAGAGTTACAAGCTTATACCTCTCAAATGGAGTAAGCTTTGGTTGTTGATCAAACTTAATCCTAACACACTCTCAGGCTTGAATTGTACTCCTAAAGGTTCAACCAAGGTTCTAAGGTTAAGGTTTAAGGGTGTGTATGGAGTATGGAGATGGCTTAAGGGTGGTAAGCTTGCTCAAATATGACTTGCACAAGAAGAAGGAGTTCTTAATATGTATATAGGCTCTTTTGAAATTGTTCAACTTTCAAAACAGAGATATAACCTCATTTTTATAGAATTTGAGCAAAACAAGTCGGAAATATCTCCAAAAATGGACAGCTGACAGGCTCCCACCCAGAACAGTGTCTATCGCCATCGAGGCACGACCGGGCCCGAAAGTGTTCCCCTGTTTCTCTGTTTTAAGCTCAGTGTAGGGCGGCACAAGGTTCAAAAATAAAATTCAGGGGTTCAATCAGTGTAGATATGAGAGGTTTGAGATTGTTTTGAGCACCCAACCTTGGCTGAGAAGGAAAATCATGCACAATACTATTTCATTATCGAGTGTATAGGACAAAGCGCATAAGTCTTGCGGGCAGTCAAAAATAAGGTGTCTACAGTTGCCCCTTTTTGACAGAACTCGAAGTCATGAAATGACATGAGCGAATGCCAAAGCCCAGAGACAACCCATTTTGACAAGGATGTAAGACTCGGGCAAAGAAATCAAGGCATAAAATGCAGTGGTTAGGGCAAGATGCAAATGATAAGCACAACAAAATAACTTATGATCATGCAATGAAGCAATATAAACAAGCGATGAAACAACATCATAAGCAATAACAAAAGTAAAAACCAAAGCGAAACAAATCAAGCCGTGTCTCACACGAAAAAAAATGAATAAAAAAACATGTCTCTCGTAGAGAGGACATAAGAAAATGCAAGCCTATCTACATCTCATGTTGAAAGGATATAAGAAAATGCAAACCTACCTGTGTCTCACGTAGAAAGGATGTAAGAAAATACAAACCTACCTAAATTTCGCGTAGAAAGGATGTAAGAAAATGCAAACCTACCTACATCTCACGTAGAAAGGATGTAAGGTGGTGTGAACATTAAGCGCACCTGATGTTTTTAACCGAGCAAACAATAACCTAACGCGTCTCACGCGAAAGGAGGAAAGGTGGTGTGAACATCAGGAGCACCTGATGTTTTTAACTGAGCAAACAACAACCTAACACGTCTTACGTGAAAGGAGGAAAGGTGGTGTGAACATCAGGTGCACCTGATGTTTTTAACCGAGCAAACAACAACCTAACGCGTCTCATGCGAAAGGAGGAAAGGTGGTGTGAACATCAGGCACACCTAATGTTTTTAACCGAGAAAAACAACTCCAAGCGCGTCTCAATCAACAAAAGAGCAAACAAAACTCAGAACTCGACACAACAAGACTAGAGGACTTCGAAAATGAAGCTCACCGAGACGACTCAAAATCAAGGTATAAAATGTGAATGCGAATAATTGAACACGATGCATTGTAGCAGACTAAACAAAGGTATATAATCATCAAAATAATCGAAGTGATGCTTGAAATGAACAATTTGGAATCAATTTTGCACAAGTTTTGAAAATGAGCTTAATTGAATACAACACCATATGAAACAAATTATGAAGGCGCAATAAAACAAGAACGAGAACAAAATTCTTTTCCTCTCCTCGAAGTTTTCTTTCTTTCCATTTTCTTTGTTTTATTATTTTTTTCATTTCTTTTCTTTCCTTCTCTTTTTTTTTTCCTTTTTTTTTTCCTTTTGCTCTCTGTTTTTTTTTTTTTTCCTTTTTCTACTCTGTTATTTTTCTTGCCAAACCAAATTCAAAACGAGGCTGCCTAAACATGAAAACAACAGAACAACTGAACTGTTCTTGCATTTAGAACCGGCCGGGCCTAAACGAGGCACGACCGAGTCCATTGGAGCACGGCCGGGCCTCGATGGTGACCAGGGGCAGATTGATAAAAGTACGGCTGTGGTCGTTCTAAATCAAACCCAAACCTCATTTCCACCCACACCTAAAGTCGAAACTCCCTCTCCTCCGCTCTCTAAGTCTCATCTCTCTCTCTAGATTACCCTATTTTCGCAAAACCCACAAACTCTCGCTAATTTGTTTTCTTAAAACTCACTCACTTCCCTATATTTTGAACCGAACAAGAATCGATTTCGTTGAGTTTTGTGATTTCTCTTGGTTTTGCTTGATTTCTTACATACTTATCCTCTTTTTTCCCTTTTTCCTGCTTGATATTCACTTTTCTCTCTCCTAGGGTTTGGAATTTTGGGGATTTACACCCAATTTTACTCACCCACTCACTTTTTCACATTTTCCTTATTTTTTCCTTCATATTTCTTGATGGCTAGCGATGAGGCTCCCATCCTTGACCCTGTGGTGGGTATTAGTGCTGTCCTTGGTGAGGACATCAAGGCTGGGGATATCCTTCTGCCTGTACCTGAGCCGGAGTTGCTTCCATTAGCTGATAGGCATTTTGACACGGCCACTTACCAGATCCGCACACATGCTTTGACCCTTGACGGCATCATGAGATTTGAGGGACTCATTCCAGGGATCGACGAGGACATTCTGCTGCGAGAGCCTGCGAAACACTTGTCTGCCAATGCACCCACATAAGCAACTTCCCCTTATTGTTTAAACATACTTGGAAATATATACTTGAAACTTGTAAACAAATCTTCCTTTCAATACATTGCGAATACTGATAAGATGTCCATGTGATAGGTGATAGCCACGAGGATTGGCAATTATGGATCCATATCCGGCCCCTCGACACTGGTATTTGAGACTTCTTGTGAAGGTTCGCACGCTGGTTGATGCTGTCGGCTTTGGACTGTTCTGTTCAGGACTTATACAGATGCGGGCTGAGCTATTGCTTTACGGGGCCCTAGTGGAGAGGTAGTGGGATACCACTGACTCGTTTCACTTTTCATCGATTAGGGAGATGACTCTGACCTCATATAATTTCTCTATACTCACTAGTTTGCGGACAGGGATTGGCAGCCCGATTCTGTTTGATCCTGATATGGCGCAGTGGAAAGATGCACATCGTCAGCTTCTCGAGGCAATCCTAGACACCACCAGCTAGGGATGGTGAGGTACAGCTGGTTCTTGGAGCATTTTTTTAATCTTCAGCCAGCTTCCTCGAAGGAGGTCGTCCAATACACCAGCGACTTTCTCATATATCTTCTCGATACCATCCTATTTGCAAATAGAGAGAATACCGTGGGGTTATATTTCTTAGGAGCACTAGTGCATTTGCTGCAAGTAGTTGAGTATGATTGGGGTGGTGCCAACTTGGCCACTCTGTACGGCTACATGAGCTTTATATCTTGTCGGAAGGTGGATTCTCTTGGCGGCTACTGGAGAGTTTGGGAGGTACACCTCACACTAACTTTTCTGTTTAGCTTTGTAGTATGTTCAACTTTGTATTCTTGCTCATTTTTGCTTTGTATTTTCTGTTCATAACTGCTCATCTGCTTCATTTATCTTTCTCTGCTTGCAATTATGGGTTTACACGTATTTCACCTTTCTGGCTCTGGTCCTAGTGAGGCCGCTTGAGTTGTCGGTACCCCGCTCCCAGTACTACAACTCACAATTCGAGTGACATCGTTGCGTAGATCGAGATTTTCTTTACTTTTGCTACTTCTTTGACACCATCACCGCAGATTAGCTAACAAAATACTAGTCTTTGTTTTTATCTTATTATTTCCCTTATTTCCACTGATTCCATACTGTTGTGTCCATACTACTGTTTCCTATTTCCTGTACTGCATTGTTTCCATACTACACTGTCATGCTCATACCGTGTTTCTATACTGCTTAGATCTTTGACATCTGACATCTACTTGCACAGGTTGACTGGCACCCCTGGGCGGGTATCCCTCAGGCATTAAAGATGACCTATGTCGCTGCGTGGCATGCCTCCACCATGCGAATTCTGTTTGAGGACCCTTTCGGCAGGGCATATTACTTGGGAGAGAGGTTCATCCGGTAGACACGAGGCATCGTTGACCCTGACATTCCGCATCATCCTCCTCCGGCATGAGGGTAGTCGATGATCTCCATGACGAACCCCAAGTTGACTTCCTTATGTTGGGAGAGAATGATGACCGACACCACGAGCTCGGTGAGTTCATCACATTCTCACAAACCTAGGTGATGGCGCCTCTTACCCAGGGCGTTGCTCGCATCATTCCAGAGGCTGCTGCTGTCGCTGCTAGAGGTGTTCCTGCCGTCGTTCCCGTTCCCGGGCTTCCCGTGATTCCGACTGAGGTTATATACATACGACTAGATGGGGTGCTAGAGCAGATCCCTCTAGAGCACATTGAGGAGAGGGATCGCAGATTGGTGATTGCTCCTAGCATCGAGCAGGTACACACTTCTTTATACTTATGCCCACTGTACACTTTATTATTTCCTTTCACTGTGCTATTTCGTTCTTGTTCACTGTGCTTGATCACTGTACTCGATTATTTCTGTATACTGTACTAAATTCTCTTCCTTTTGCAGGTATCCGTGGTGTATACTGATGACCTTCTCCGGACGATCGACCGACTGCTCATGATGGTACGGAGGAGGCAGACTGCTCTGGCCACCCATGGGATTGAGGTATTGCAATCTTGTTCGTAATTATGTTACATCCATTATGATACCTGTACACAATTTAATTGGATCTCTTCTGATATCTGCACTCATATCTGTACTCATTTCAGCTCAAGCCGGCGGCAACTGCACCTGCAAGGCCTCTTCCGGCTGGAAGAAGGCAGAGACGAGATGCGGTAAGAGGCAGAAGACAGGCTGACCGGGGCAGAGGCCAAGCGAGGCAACGCTCACCTTCTAAGAAGTCTTTTGTTGAGTACATGACCTCCGAGGAGGAGGGGAAAGAGGCTAACGTGCGATCCAGTAGTTCTAGTGACGATAGTGACGCCCTTCCTTCATAGCCGAGGAGGAAGAGAGCAAGGACGGAGTGATGATTGGCTCTTTTGCCTTTTCTTTTGCTTTGTAGTTAGACTCTCTATTTTTGTTTTTGAAGACTTTTCTTTTGTTTTTGGTTTGTAAAAACAATGATCGGGATTGGACCCGCTAGTGTGTATATATAAAAAAGTTTTGGATGATTCCTCTTGCATAAAATGTGATAGATGGCATAACTAACAATTGCGTACAAGAATTTACAACTGTGGACTCTTGCTTTTGAATTCCTTCTTGAATCGGATAACAACCTTCTACCAGACAAAAGGAAAAATACAACGCGATAGCAGCAAAACAAAATGAACACGACCTAAAAACACTGAACAACACTTGATACAAACAAAACAAAACTCAAAATACAACCACAGTATAGCAAGATAAGAGACTAGCCTCTGATGCAACTGTTCTGATCTAGGCCATCATTTAGACCTGGCCGGGTCCAAATAGGCATGGCCAGGCCCAAAAGCAGTGTCGGTCAGTAGGATCCAGCTGTCATGCACAGCTTCTTCTCAAAGTCCATAAAAGGTGCTTCCAAGCTGTTTTCTTGGCAGAATAGCAAGTCTTTGATGTTTGGCTCTTAATATGGAAGGTGTGCTCAACACTAAGCTCCAAGATTGGATTGCTAATTTGGACGGCTCAGAAAAGGTGAATTTTCACGGTTTCGGCCTAAACACTATTTTTTCTTTGAGCCGTACTTTGCTTTGCTTTCCATTTCTCCATACTACTGTTCAGTGCTGGAACCCGGTTACACATACATTCCGCTTCGGATCTCAAGAGTTGTGCCCGACACTTGAAGAGTTTCAAGCATTGATGGAATCCCGACGTGACGAGGAAATCATGCTGCAACCCCATTTTGGCCATGCTCTGGCTTTGGGATGAATGTGTTGGCTTACTTTGCATGAAGCTCGATCTTTAACTCATGACAGGGAGCTAGATATACCTGATTTGATCCATCGGTTCTCTAACATCGAAGACAGAGGCGACCTTCTCTGGCGAAGCTTTCGACAACATGCCCTCTATGTATGTATGTTCCCGTATTTTCTTCTTGCCCCTAGTTACGGCAGAGCTAACATTAAGCTGATCGAAGTAGCCACCATCTGAAAGAGGGTAAGAGTTGCATTGCTTTGACGTTAGCCGAAACCCTGATGGGTTTACATGCTTTTTACCGGTGAGAGACCACCAGGTTTGCGGGGAGTCCATTACTGCTTCAGGTATTGTTTCCCACCCTTTCTTATATATGTCTCTCACATCACTTGACACTCCCTCTCTATTTTCTCTCAAAACCCTTTTCTTTCCTTTTCTCTCAACATACATCTCTATATTCTTTAATCTCTCTTATTTTTTATCCCTTCCCAGGTATGGCTCATGGATAAGCTGAAAGTAGTGGACCCTTGCCTCGAGTGTTCAGCTCAAGCTTGTTTATTCTGCTAACGACAAATGGATTTTCTCAATAAGAGATGGTGGTGCAACTGGATGTGCAGCTGACATAACTTGGCGTTGCCTCTGGCTCAATCTGACTGAGATGAGTTACAGCATGACCCAGCAGCCTGGCATACAATTGATTGGCCTCACGCATTACATGTTCTACTTTACCTTCCTATTCAAACGCCAGTTCGGGGATGATCAGACCTGCCCCGAGGAGGGGGTAGAATACTCGACTTCATTCCCGATTCGTGCTTCACACCTGGCTCGATACCTTGCTGCCTAGAGGACAAGAGAGCTTCTGGCCCCTGCCCTTAGCTTCAGTTATGCCCTTTCTGGAAAGTGCTTGGCTTGGCTCAAGGATAAGGCACAAGTCAGGCCGACTTTGGCTGCAGAGGCTTCCATAAGCACGAGCAGAGGACGCAGGACTACCTGACTCATCTATGCCCCTAGTTTATTGCTTTGACTTTTCTTTTCAAGTTTTATCATGTAAAAGCAACTTTGATTTGTATCAGAGAGTTGGAAAATGTACTTGTGTTGAAATCAATGAAATTAGAGTTGTCGGCACTAAAAATTTTCCTTTTGGTCCCAAAAATGGTCTAAGTTGTAAAAGTAAAATTTTGAACAAAATCAACTTTTATTAAAACTTTCTAAAACCATTTTCGAAAATGATCACTGCCTGACACGCACAGAATCAATCCTCAAAATGTGCAACCCCAAATCAACAAATCATAACTGCCTCTGCTTGAATACCACTACTACTCCGCATCATAACCAGCTTTTCTTTCCAAAATAAAGATCACAACTGAACTAACAGATGATGAACAAAAATGACATGATCAAGAAAACGAACAGAACAGTTGAGTTGGAGATAGTTACAGCTGAACTTCAAGATGAAGTTGCCTACATATCCCAAAGATGGGAATCAAGCCTTATGTAGTTTGGTTCTGGTTCACTCGAGTATTAACTCTCTCATTTTGCACTCTAACTTTTGCCAAAGTTGCCCTTTAGGGTTTTCAACCTTGTGAGCTCAGTTTTTCTTTATTTCTAGTTTTTCATGCTCTAATTTTTGCCTAGGTTGCCCTTCTGAGTTTTTGGTCTAGCAAGCCTCTCAGGGTAGTATTTCTTCAACTTGTCCATATTGATCGGCTATGAAAATTCCAGGCCATCTAAATCCATGAGAATAACTGCCCCTCCTGACCAGATAGCTGTGATAATGTAAGGACCAGTCCAATTGGGTCTGAACTTGCCCTTAGGGTCATAGATGGGAGCTCGGTTGTCTTTTAGTACCATATCTCCCTCCTTGAGATTCTGGGACTTAACTTTCTTGTTAAAAGCCCTAACGATTCTGCGTTGGTTGCCCTGAACATGATACAATGCCTTTAGCCTTCTCTCATCAAACAACATTAACTCCTCAAATTTGCTCTTTTCCTAGTTCGCCTCTACTATCTAACACTCAGCCATGACTCGTAGCGATGACACTTCAATTTCAATTAGCAAAACAACCTCTGCTTGAATACCACTACTACTCCGCATCATAACCAGCTTTTCTTTCCAAAATAAAGATCACAACTGAACTAACAGATGATGAACAAAAATGACATGATCAAGAAAACGAACAGAACAGTTGAGTTGGAGATAGTTACAGCTGAACTTCAAGATGAAGTTGCCTACATATCCCAAAGATGGGAATCAAGCCTTATGTAGTTTGGTTCTGGTTCACTCGAGTATTAACTCTCTCATTTTGCACTCTAACTTTTGCCAAAGTTGCCCTTTAGGGTTTTCAACCTTGTGAGCTCAGTTTTTCTTTATTTCTAGTTTTTCATGCTCTAATTTTTGCCTAGGTTGCCCTTCTGAGTTTTTGGCCTAGCGAGCCTCTCAGGGTAGTATTCAACTTGTCCATATTGATCGGCTGTGAAAATTCTAGGCCATCTAAATCCATGAGAATAACTGCCCCTCCTGACTAGATAGCTGTGATAATGTAAGGACCAATCCAATTGGGTCTGAACTTGCCCCTAGGGTCATAGATGGGAGCTCAGTTGTCTTTCAGTACCATATCTCCCTCCTTGAGATTCTGGGACTTAACTTTCTTGTTAAAAGCCCTAACGATTCTGCGTTGGTTGCCCTAAACATGATACAATGCCTTTAGCCTTCTCTCATCAAACAACATTAACTCCTTAAATTTGCTCTTTTCCTAGTTCGCCTCTACTATCTAACACTCAGCCATGACTTGCAGTGACGACACTTCAATTTCAATTAGCAAAACAACCTCCATCCCATAGACGAGAGAATAGGGGGTTGCCCTAGTAGATGTCTAGATTGAGGTTCTGTAGCCCCAAAGTGCGAATAACAGCTTATCCGGCCAGTCCCTGTAGGTCTCAACCATCTTCTGCAAGATGTTCTTGATATATTTATTGGCAGCTTCAACAGCTCCATTGGTTAGTGGCCTGTACGTGGATGACTTATGAAAAGCCACGTTGTATTTCTCCAACAAGTTTATCACCTCTTTCTTGAAGTGCGAGCCGTTATCTGATATGATCTCGTTTGGAACTCCGTACTGGCAGATGATATTGTTTCTGATAAATTTGGCCACATGGGATGCCTTTAACACTGCATAGGATTGAGCTTCCACCCACTTTGTAAAGTAATCAATTGCCACCAAGATATATTCATGTCCATTCGACCCTTTTGGCGAGACAACACTGATAACGTCGATTCCCCAGATTGAGAAAGGCCATGGCAAAGTCATGTTGTAGAGTTTTGATGGCAGAATATTAATACGATTGGCATGAATTTGAAATTTATGGCATCGCCGCACAAAACCAATACAATCTTCTTCCATGGTAATAACCTTGCTTGAGAATCTTCCGGGCTAGCATCACACCATTCATATGTGCTCCGCATTCTCCGTCGTGGATAGCCTCCATAAGGCGCTTCAATTCCTTTTCTTCCACATACAGTTTATGCATTCCTAGATGGCCTCTTTTGTACAACTTACCTCTGTAGATGATAAATTGGACGGCCATACGCCGTATTCCCATTTGTCATTGGCATTTGCCCCTGGTGGATACATCTCTTTTTCTAAGAAGTTCCAAATATCGTAATACCAGGGGTTTTTGTCTTGCACTTCATCTATCACGGCAATAGTTTCATAAGCAGGCATACATTTATGTTCAATGATAATCGGACGCATTCGCTCCAAGTGGGATGCTTACCATAGAAGATAGAGCTGCTAAAGCATCAACGAACTTGTTGTTCTCTCTTAATAGAAGCACGAATGTCAACTTTTCAAATCTCGGAATCAGAACATCCAAGGTCTGATGGTAAACCTTCATCTTCTCTTCTTTGATTTTCTAGTCTCCGTTTGAGAAACAACCAAGTTTGAATCCCCAATGACATCCAACCTTATTGCCCTTAGTTCTAGGGCGGCTTCTAAACCAACAACACACGCTTCATATTCTGCTTTATTGTTGGACACCTTAAATCAAAGTTTGAAGGCCAAAGGTATGTGGGAATCGTCGGGTGCTATCAGTAACCCACCTATTCCATAACCGTACTGATTGGACGCTTCGTCAAAGTACATAATCTGAGTTTCCTCTTCAACTTGTACAATGTCTTCATCTGGGAACAAGTATTCCACTGTCTCATCTCCTTCTACCGTGTGGTCTGCCAGGAACTTCGCTACAGCTCTTCC